TTTTTGGTTGCAGCCGTCATTGTTGTTTGGCGGGTCCGGGCTGGGGATTTGAACCCGCCACCTTAGGTGTATGTGGCTGGCGCCTTAGCCGGTTGAGATATAGGCGCTGAGCCAGGATGATTTTTTTTTAAGTATATAAAATAGAACATATTGATTATACTTGTGAAAGTCTGTTGACGTAAGTTATGAGAGGACCACAAGAGAGAGTGGAGTAGTCTCAAGCAGGACAAAGGAAGAGCTACTTTAAAAAGAGTTAAAGAAGGCAAAACAGTGTTGGATGGAAAACAAAAAGAATACGAGACTACATATATGTCTATAGGGGGTTATATGGAATGTTATGGCAATCTGATTTTTCTCCCTTGAAAATATTGAGGACTAGAAAAAGAAAAAAGTAGAACTGTAGGAAGAAGACACAGAAGAGATAAGGAGAAAAGGCTATGATCTAAAGGAGTCAGAGTTGCTGGAAGTAAGGCAGGCTGAGAGAGCTCAGCATAGCAGCGATTCTTGGTGTCAGGGATGGCAGTGCAGGGGGAATGTTGGGAGGGAACTTGATAACCTAAGGTATATGATCCCAACTTAATTTTTTTCTCTCATTAGGAGATGCTCTCCATGCTGGGAGACCAGAGCAACAACTACAACAATGAAGAATTTCCTGATCTAACAATGTTTCCCTCTTTTTCAGAATAGAACTATTGGGGTGAGGATAAGGGGTGGGGGAGAAAAGTCACTGTTTTTTTTTTTTTTAAAAGGAAGTCTTTCTGTAAACAGAATAAAAGTTCCTCTCCCTTCCTTTCCCTCACCCCTGACATGTACCCCCTTTTGCCTTTTGGCTTTTCCCCTGCCTTCCTGCCTCTCTCTGAGGTAAAATTTATAGGAGAGATTGACTAAATCCCCAAGGCTTTTAAGACCCTTTGAAAATTTATGGCTGGGTGAAGTTAGAATGCCTTTCCTTACATCTCCTGACCAGAAGTTATGCAGTGATGGTTTGTGTTAGGGTCAAGAAGCAGGTTAGAAGAACCTGGCATCCACTATTTGCTTTGAATAGTATGGCTTGGTTTTGGAGAGAAATTCTGCATAGAGTGGAAGAAAGGAGAAATGTCCTTATGTTAGAGGACCATGAAACCTGGTAGGTATACATGGGGCTTTAGGAAGTAAGCATAGGCTCTTTCTGCTGCCTGTGAGCAATTCCTCTGGAAAGAAACATGTTAGTAAGTGGCAGGGGTGGGGAGGGGACTGGTTTCTTGTGTGTGTATTTGTGTGTGTGTGCGCACACACGTGTGTGCTCGTCCTGTAGTTATTTCTTCCTATTAGGGAGTTATGCAAAATGTGTCCCAGATTTTATCTTTGCCTTTAAGTGTGCTTTTCAAAAAGTCCTAAGGGGTTAAATCTTGTAGGCATTTTCTACTTAGTATTGCAGCCAAAGAGTATTTAAATAATAATGTCTTTGCTGCGCTTACATCCATACCCAGCCTACATGCAACTGTAAAGCAAATATATACAGTCTTATGTTGATATGGTTGGTTTCTCGATGAACATATTTAGTGATAAAGCTGGATCACTCCTGCTTTTGGTGCTCTCACCTTATCCGGAAAATCTGCAAGCATACCGAAATAGGCTGGCAAGGTAAACACTTTCAGAAACCCCGGACATGGCCATAAGGATAATGCTGCACTTTTCTATCAGAATCACATACGATGTGTGTTCTGTAGAGGTTATTTTTGCATGGAAACTCAACTTCTTGGATTAGCAGGCCCAGGGCAAATCCTCATGTTAGAATATAAACCAAATGCAAAGCCCTTTTTACAAAGTAGGCTTGTTCACCCATCCTCAAAATATCTATTCTAACAAGAAACTGAGATATGAGCGTTTCCTGGGTTGATAGTTCTTTATTCTTTGCTTCCTCTCTAATCTCAAGGTTGGGTTTTGCTTTAGAGCACAAGTATAATAACTCTGTGTGACAGATGGTGTCTGGATGCCTAACCCAACAGGGTCAATTGGTAATTAACTATAGCCATATAGATGTCGAATCAGGTTACTACTCTCATCCTTTACCTTCCTCAGGTAATAGTTATGTATGTCAGTTTTGTTGTTGTTGTTTTTTAATTGGCTCCAGCCAGTATCTAAGTACAAGACTGAAGTCATGAGAAGATATATGAAATGTAGTCACAGGGGACTGAGGAGCACAGATGGCCTTGGAGAGGCTGAAGGAATGTCATTTACTGGGTCCCCCCCCTCCTTTTGTCTCTAGTCTGGTGCCAGGTAGTAGAGCGAAAAATGAGACAGTGTATTTTTTTATTCTATGTGCACACATACAGCATACATATATATTTATATCACAACTTATGAAACCAAAAAGTTGAGTTTCTAATGGAATCCTTGTTTTTAAGTAATCAGCTGTTTTTAAATGTGATCAGAACTATAATATTGTACAGTTATTGTAGGGCTTTGGGGGAGGGAAAAAGAGGGAGAAGATGCTCTGGGGGTTTTGTTTCTGCTTTTCCTTCAGGGTTTTATTTTTGATTGTTTTGTTTTCTTGGCCGTTTCTGTATTGCTGGCATCTGTGCCAAGCCTTACAGTGGCAAAAATAATGACATGTAGCAAAGATTTTAAAACAAAGTATTTTTTCCTTTTGTAAAATTTCTTGTGTTGTGTGATCTTGATTGTGGCCTTTTTGTTCTTTTTCGTCTCGTAAACAACAATCACCCACAATTTAAGGGATCCAAAGCTTGAGCGCCAAACATGTAAAAATAAGGCACATTGTGAGCCTTTAGTTTCAGGAATCAGAATCACAGGGCTCTGATCACTCTGCACCCTTCCCCCACACTGGTCCTCCTGATCCTGACACATTCTGAGTAAAATCAGCAGGGACATTCTAACCACGAGATGATGGTGGGTGGGGGCTGCCCAAGTCCTTGGGCGAGAGAGAAAGAGCTGAACTGGAAACCACCAGGACACATACGGATGCCTCCTTCAGTGTGTATACTTCTGGATTAAAAGGAGTTGGGGATGGGGAAATTTAAACTCTTCAGGTCTGGACCTGGTTTCTCCCTAGGACCATGTTGGCTCATTAACAACTCTAAAAATCCAGAGCCATAAACCCGTGTCGTTGAGGGTCTGTTATGGAATCCAGCCAGAAAGTGAGTCTAGATTCCATGTATTATCCTTTGTATTACAAGGACTCTCTTTCCCTATATCTGTTTATGGAAGAAAATAAATTTAGGGGTGTGGTTTGGGAACTGAGCTAGATTCTTGTGATCTGTCAGATGCCTGGATGTTGGGCAAGCATTTCCAGAAACTCATGAGACTGGGACCCAGATGGGGATTTTAATATTGGAGACAGATGATAGATGTCAGGCATCCACCATCTGAGGGTTTAGCCACAGACTCAACACGTGAATCCATGGGACTTCGGGCATTGATTCAAGTGCTGCCATAAGGAGGTTACTTGAGAGCTAATTTCATCTGAACTTTCTGGGCCTATCCTCCGCCAGCAAAATACGTTAAGACTGGGAGAGCTATTCTCTTATTGGAAATGGTAATAGCTTTTAGCCAGCAAATTTATAAAATACAACTTTAGAGCCTATGGCTTCCCTTCCTACCCTTTTCAGTTTATTCCTTCATCCCAGAGGGGAGGGTCAGACACAAATTTAAAAACTTTTTGATGTTGGGAGGTAGGTTGTAATAGGGAAATGGTAGGAAAAGATGTAACCTTTCAAAATCATAATAAAAGATATTAAAGAAGGAAGATGGGAGAGATTAGGGCTGCATTGTTCTATTTCCTCACCAAAAGAGAAGGTAAGCCCCTACTTGAGCAATATGCATTGAGATCCTTTTTGTCTGAACCCAAAGACAGCCATATGAGACCCTGTAGCTACTCTCCACCCAGCATATGCATCACACACACACAACCACTGTGCAAGTCTACTGCCTCCTTCCCCCCTCCTGAAGTCCCCCTTCTCTCAGCGTTTCTATCCCCGCCTCCTCTTATCCACATTTTCCAGCCGACTGCTAGAGCTGACTTCCGCAATCCTGATGGGATAAATCTAGCACTCCCCGTCATCTGCCCACACTTCCCTGCTGACACCAGATCCAACAACAGATTCCCACTAGCAGGTAACATTTTCAACTTCCTCAACCTTTTAACTTTTCCTTCCTGCCAGTTCTCTTTTTTAGGAGTATTAGAGACAGTGACTTGGGGATCAAAATAAACTTTGTAGGCTCTGCAGATGAAAACAGAAATAGTCATTTCCTGGCCAAGTATATATATACTTGGTTGTCAGTAAAAGTAAAGGGTACAGGGAATCCTTACCCATCCCTTACAAGTAGCTTCTCAGGATTTTCTGCCTTGGCCAAAAAGGACCAAAGGGTTAACTCATTAATGGAGAGGAGGTGGAGCGCCACAGGGGTGATGGCCTGGTGCTTCCTGAGACATCTCAAAGCTTGATGCGCCAGCTATTAAATTACACCAGCTTGCAAAGATTACACAAAAATGGACTATAAATTGAGAAATTACGCAAGTTGTATGATTTGCTTCGCCTGCAAATGTTTCATAAAATGGAGGATTTGTAATTAAGCAAGCCAATGCAAGAAATGAGCTAAGCTAGAGTAAACTTCTGAATTTAATCATCATAGAATTGTCTTACATTGTTCTAACAGGCCTTGATTCTAAGGCTCTTTGTCCTGTGTTGCAGCTAGAGGTTTTTTGTTGGTGGTGAGGGGGAATCTTCCAACTCATAGCATCTGGTTAAGATTAGGGCAGTTCCTGCCTGAGGAGCGAGGGGAAAGAAAGGAGTGTAAGGAGACAGAGAAGAAACACTCAACTTTTCTATTGTCCTCTTCTGATAAGACCTGGAAAAGTACTAGAATTTAAGCAAGGAAGAGAATACTCTGAAAAAATAATCAGAAAGCAGAATTTAGCTTGGAATTCTCTCCTTTCTGTATTCTGCAACCCTATCCATGCCCTCACCTTGTTCATCTCCAAGTCTGCTGGGAACCCTAGAGGAAACAGAGCTTACCCCAGTCTGGATATACAGTACCCGTTTTCTGGTTGTCTGTGCAAGTTTTTGTGTGTGTGTGTGTGTGTGTATAAGAGAGAGTGTTATTTGAATCTCCTTAGGTCAGAATACTTGGAAGCAGATGTACCCAAACTTAGGCCCCTCCTATTATAGGAAAATCACCATTTGCTCTCTACCTTCCTCACAGAGGCTAGTTTTCCTCTGCCTAATGGTTCAGAGGAAGGGATTCATTGAGAGCACAAATCCCCGGGTTATCACTGTATTCATGTATTTTACTTTTACTTGTTTTTCAAGGAAGCCTACAACTCCTAAAAGGTTCAGAGCTGCCTCTCTAGGAATATGACTTCCCCTATGCCCTCACCCCAAGCCAGGCTGTCACCCTTCTGCTGAGTGAAAGTCTTTCCCTAATTATGCCCTTCCCTAGGATGTGGGGACTCAAGGTCATGCTGCTACCCATGGTGAGCTTTGCTCTGTACCCTGAGGAGATACTGGACACTCAGTGGGAGCTATGGAAGAAGACGCACAGGAAGGAGTATGATAGCAAGGTGCCTGGGGACCTGGCAGGGGGGCTGAGACCTGGGACCTTCAGTCCTAGCTTTCACACTCCATTCTTCAAATGCTTCATTCCAAGCAAACCTGTCCCCGTTCCCTAAGCTATTAAGTTTCCATTCCTCTGCCTCAACTCACCCTCCATCAAGTTGTATCCTTCCTTTGCTTTATAAGTGTCTTATATTTCTCTTTTGGAAAGACCTCAGATTAATGGTTTTAGTCTATAAGCAATTTTTTGATCCAGACCTTTGCATTGTATTACTTGTATTTGTTTATATATTTCTTTAAGGTCCTTATAATTGTGACTTGGATCTTTTCTCCTAAAAACTTCCACAACACTGCATCTGCAACTTTGTGCACAGTCCGTGTGGGTACTGACTGTGCTCTGTTTAGGTGGATGAAATCTCTCGGCGTTTAATTTGGGAAAAAAACCTGAAGTATATTTCCATCCATAACCTTGAGGCCTCTCTTGGTGTCCATACATATGAACTGGCCATGAACCACTTGGGGGACATGGTGAGTTGACCTTCAGCTCCTTATCCAACTGCCCTATTTGCTTTAGTTCCTTGCTAATGCCTCTTTCTTCCTTGTCTCAGACCAGTGAAGAAGTGGTTCAGAAGATGACTGGACTCAAAGTGCCCCCCTCTCGTTCCCACAGTAACGATACCCTCTATATCCCTGACTGGGAAGGCAGAGCCCCAGATTCTATTGACTATCGAAAGAAAGGATATGTTACTCCTGTGAAAAACCAGGTACTCTCCTTCCTCCTGGGTGTGCATGTGTAGTCTGGCGTGGCCTCTTCCTTTTGCTGCTGCTTTGTTCTTGAGATAGGAGGGCACCAGGAAGGAAATGTGGTGCATTTTGCCATGCTACCAGAGTAGGGCTTAACCATTATTTAACTCATCACCTATTTTTGTACATTAGCTTATTTCTGGGTTTCTTTTTTTTTTTTTATTACAAATAGTATTTCAGTAAGCATCTTTGTGCATATATTTTTATACAGAGGTATAAAAATTTATGCAAAATAAATCCTAAAATTGGAATTGCTAGGTCGCAGAGAATCCTTACCAAAAAAGCTTTTACAATCTTACATTCTTACCAGGATGAGAATGCCAGTTTTCCCACAACCTTAACAATATAGGATTGTGTCTGCAAGATGAACAATTGATTTAACATTTATTTTTCAAACACTTTTTCCCCCTAGAACTTGCCAGATACAGTGCTAGAATGACTAAGACAGTCTCGCATGTTGACTCATGCCTGCATTCCTAGCACTTTAGGAGGCCAATGTGGGAGGATTGCTCCTGCTTGAGGCCAGGAGTTCAAGGCCAGCCTGGGCAATAGAAAACATATCTAAAAAATAGAAAAATTAACTGGCATTATCATGTGGCCTGTACTTTCAGCTACTCGGGAGGCTGAGGGGAGGATGGCTTGAGCCCAAGAGTTTGAGGCTGCAGTGAGCTATGATCTTGACATTGCAGTCCAGATTTGGTGACAAAGCAAGATCCTGTCTCAAAAAAAGATGACTAAAACATAGACTCTGTCCTCTAGAAATCCTCAATCTTAAAAAACAGAATAGGAAATAAAAGAAAATTGATAGTCTAACTGAACAAACACTAATAGCTAACACTTTTTTAATTTTTTTTTTTTTTTTTTTTTGGAGATAAGGTCTTGCTGTGTCACCCAGCTAGAGTGCAGTGGCTTGATCACAGTTCACTACTGCCTCAAACTCTGGGGCTCAAATGATCCTCCTGCCTCAGCCTCCTGAGCAGCTATATCTATAGGCCATGTCTGTAGATAAGGAAACTGAGGTACAGACAGGTTTAGTCACTTACCCAAGGTCACATGGCTAATGACCAAGGTTAGAGCCCTCCAAAGCCAGTACTCTGATCTTCTCTGCTTTACTGCTGCCCATGGTAAAGATTGTAATGGTTGGTAATAGTAATGGAACAGTGCAACAAATGTTAAATGAAGGGGAAAAGGAAAACTTCCTAACAAAGGCAGTATTTGTGCTGAGGTTTATAGAATGTATGGCATTTCTTTAGGCATGTGGAGAGAAGATATAGCAAGTGTGCACAGCAGTGATTGATAGTTTCTCCATGTGCCTCCTAGGGTCAGTGTGGTTCCTGTTGGGCATTTAGCTCTGTGGGTGCCCTGGAGGGCCAACTCAAGAAGAAAACTGGCAAACTCTTAAATCTGAGTCCCCAGAACCTGGTGGATTGTGTGTCTGACAATGATGGCTGTGGAGGGGGCTACATGACCAATGCTTTCCAGTATGTGCAGAAGAACCGGGGCATTGACTCTGAAGATGCCTACCCATATGTGGGACAGGTGAGCTGACCCACACAGTTGCATACCTCTGTTAACTTCTCCTTCTGCATGGTATTTTGTACTGGAAGCAATTACAGAAATCTTATTTTCTGTTATCCTACTCTGCTTTCCTGATGGGATAATTTACCACGGAATACCATGAAGATTTCACAATCTGGCAGAATTTAGGGAGCTTAGGCTACCATAGTTCTGATTTGCCTCTCTTTCCTGGAGAGAAAACAGAGGATAGGTTACCCCATAAACCTCTAAGTCTGTATAACCCTCTGTTCAACTCCCACCCTCCCACAAAAAAAATCCATACATTCAGTATGCTATTTTCATGAATAATGTAGCTTTATTTTTTGTGATTTGGGGCCAGTAGGCAATATAATATGAGGCCTTTCTTCTTTTTTTAAATTTCAGATAAATATGAGCATATAAATGATTAGGTTATATTGTTGTTGTGTTTGTTAGGTAAGGTCGCTGTTGTAGTTGTGGCCCTCACCCAGGAGGTGTGCCATGTACCCATACATTTTGCCTGTTAGGTAAGAGCACACCAATCCCCCTTCACCCAGCTTGAATTGAATCGAGTTTTTCTCTTGAGTGGGCATGTATTTGTTCATCTAGTGGATTTATGTTAGTATTGAGTACATTGGATACTTGCTTTTCCATTCTTGTGATACTTTACTAAGGAGAATGTTCTCCAACTTCATCTTGGCTAATAATAAAAAATATGTAAAGCCTCCGTCTGTTTCTATGGCTGACTAGTATTCCATGATATATACATTACCACAGTTTATTAATCCATTCATGGATTGATGGGCATTTGAATTGATTCTACATCTTGGGGATTGTAAATTGAGCTGTGATAAACGATCTAGTGCAAATGTCCTTACGATAAAAGATTTTTTTCCTCTTAGGTAAGTACCTAGGAAAGGAATGTAAAGTCTACTTTTAGTTCTTTGAGGATTCTCCATACTTCTTTCCAAAGAGACTGTATTAGTTTGCAGTCCCACCAACAATGTAAAAGTGTTCCCTTCTCTCCACAACTACACCAGCATCTGTAGTTTTGGGACTTTGTGATGTGGGCGAGTCTCACTGAGGTTTGGCGATATCTCCAGGTGGTTTTGATTTGCATTTCTCTGATGATTAGGGATGATGAGAAATTTTTCATGTGTGTTTTTTGCCATGTATGTGTTTTCTTCAGAGAAGGTTCTGTCCATATATCTTGCCCAGTAATAGATGGGATTGTTTGCTCTTTACTTGTTGATTAATTTGGATTCTCTATAGATTTAAGTATAAACCTTTTGTCAGATTCATAACATGCAAATATCTTTTCCCATTCTGAAGGTTGTCTGTTTGCTTTAATTGCTGTGTCTTTAGCTATGCAGAAGCTTTTTAGCTTAATTAAGTATTATTTATTTAAGATTGAGTCTCACTCTGTCCCATGGGGTTGACAGCAGTGGAATCATCCTAGCTCACAGCAACCTTAATCTCTTGGGCTTAAGAGATCCTCTTGCTTCAGCCTCCCAAGTAGCTGGGACTACAGGCACCTGCCACAACATCCAGCTAATTTTTTCTACTTTCTGTAGAGATGGTGTCTTGCTCTTGTTCAGGCTGGACTTAAAATCCTGAGCTTAAGCCATCTGCCCACCTCACCTCTCAGAGAGCTAGGGTTACGGGCATGAGCCATTGTGCCTGGCGCCGTTTTATTTATTTTTGTTGTTGTTGCAATTGCCTATGGGATCCTTATAAAACTTTTCCCCATAAAAAAAGAAAAAAAAAACTTTTCCCCGGCTGATATTACCTAGAGTTTATCCCACTCTTTCTTCTAGGATTTTCATCATTTCGGGTCTTAGATTTAAATCTTTTATCCATTGTGAGTCAAATTTTGTAAGCTGTGAGAGGTGCAGGTATAGTTTTAGTCTTTTCCGTGTGGTTATCCAGTTCTCCCAGCACCAGTTATTGGAGAAAAGGGATTCTTTTCTCCAGTGTATGCTTCTGTCTGGTTTATCAAAGATCAGATGGCAATAATAGGCTGGTTTCATGACTAGGTTTTCTATTTGGTTCCATATGTTTATGTCTCTATTTTTGTGTCAAGACCCATGCTCTTTTGATCACTGTGGACTTTAGTATAACCTGAAGTCTGGCAGAGTGATGCCTCCAGATTTGTTTTTGTTACTGAGAATTGCCTTGCCTATATGAGTTTTTAATCTGGTTTCATACAAAATTAAGAACTATTTTTCCCACTCCTTCAAAGTCTGACGTTAGTGTTTTAATGGGAATTGCTTTGAATCTGTAGATTGCTTTGGAAAGTATAGACATTTTGACAATATTGATGGGAAGCCAGCCAAGAGCATATGTTCTTCCCTTTGTTAATGTCTTCTGCTATTTCTTTTCTTAGAGTTTCATAATTCTCTTTGTAGAGACCCTTCACCTCCTTTGTTAGATATATTCCTAGGTCTTTGATTTCCTTTGAAGCTACTGTAAAGGGTGTTGTTTTGCTTTCAACCTAGCTGTTATTAGAATATAAAAAGGCTGCTGATTTGTGGGCATAGATTTTATACCCTGCAACATTACTATATAAGTCTTGTGGATGCGTGTCTGGGGTTTTCTAAGTTTAGCATCGTATCATCAACAAATAGCCAGTTTGACCTCTTCTGCCTCCGTGTGAATGTCCTCAATATCGTTCTTTTGTATTGCATTGGCTAGAACTTCCAGCACTATGTTGAATAGTAATGGCTATAGTGGACATCCTTATCTGTTTCCAGTTCTAAGTGGGAATGCTTTCAGTTGTACTCCATTTAGTATGATATTGGCTGTGGGTTTGTCATAGATGGCCTCTCTCTTTTTTTTTTTTTTTTTTTTGAGATAGTCTTACTGTGTCGCCCTTGGTAGAGTGCCATGGCATCACAGCTCACAACAACCTCAAACTCTTGAGTTTAAGCAATTCTCTTGCCTAAGACCCCCAAGTAGCTGAGACTACAGGCACCTGCCACAATGTCCAGCTGTTTTTTGGTTGTAGTTGTCATCGTTGTTTGGCAGACCCCAGGCTGGGTTTGAATCTGCCAGCTCTGGTGTATGTGGCCAGCACCCTACCCGCTGAGCTACAGGCTCCAAGCCTATGCCTAATTTTTTAAGTGTTCTTATCAGAAAAGGATGCTAAATTTTATCAAATGCTTTTTCTGCATCTATTGAGAGGATAATCTAGTCTTTGTTTTTGCTTCTATTTATGTGGTGAATTATATTTATAGATTTGCATCTGTTAAACCAGCCCACTTGATCATGATGTATTATTTTCTTTTTTTTTTTTTTTTTTGAGACAGAGTCTCACTCTGTCACCCTGGGTAGAGTGCCATGGTGTCTAACTCTCAGCAACCTCAAATTCTTGGGTTTAAGCGATTCTCTTACCTCAGCCTCCCAAGTATCTGGGACTACAGGTGCCTGCCACAACATCTGAATTACTTTTTTCTATTTTTAGTAGAGACAAGGTCTTGTTCTTGTTCAGGCTGGTCTCAAACTTCTGAGCTCAGGCCATTCCCTCAGTGTGGCCTCCCAGAGTGCTCATATTACAGGCTCATGGCCATGATGTATAATTTTTTTTTTTAAATATGCAGCTGATTCTATTAGCTAGGATTTTATTGAGTATTTTTGCATCAATAGTCATTAGTGAGATTGGCCTGTAGCTTTCCTTTTTTGTTGGGTCATTTCCTGGATGTGGTATCAGAGTGATGTTTGCTTTGCAGAATGTGTTGGGGAGGGTTCCCTCTATGAGGCCTTTCTGACAGGAGCTTTTGGAGCAGGGATACAAAGTTTGATTAATCAAAATGATAGCTATGGCTCGGCTCCTGTGGCTCAAGTGGCTAAGGCACCAGCCACATACACCTAAGATGGCGGGTTCGAATCCAGCCCAGGCCTCCAAACAACAACGACGGCTGCAACCAAAAAATAGCCGGGCGTTGTGGTGGGCACCTGTAGTCCCAGCTACTTGGGAGGCTGAGGCAGGAGACTCACTTGAGCCTAGGAGTTGGAGGTTGCTATGAGCTGTGATGGCAGAGCACTCTACCCAGGGGGCCAGCTTGAGGCTCTGTCTCAAAAAAAAAAAAATGATAGCTACTATTGTGCTTAGTAGTGCATTTTCTCACTTAATCCTCTTATCAGCCCTATAAGGCAGACTTTATAGGTACGAAAATTGATATTAAGGAGATAAAATAGCATACTCAAATTCATACCACTAGTATGTAGCAAAGATAAGATTTATCTACAGGTCTGTTTATCTGTTATACACATTCCTAGGCATGTCTCTCAAGCACATATGCAAAAATTTCTTACTAAGATATAACTCCTTAGAATAGAATCATCTAGGTCTTAGGGTATGCCTATCTTCAACTTCACTGCATAATGTCAAATTGTTTACCGAAGTATTTGGAAAAATTAATACTCCAACCAGCAATGATAAGAAATCCCACTGATTCAGATCTTTATCATGGTGATTATCTGGCCATTTGCATTTCTTCCTCAATGAACTGAATTTTATTTACAGCTCATTTTTAATTGGGTAATTTTTCCTTTTTCTTACTGATTTTTAGGAATTTAAAAAAGAGGCCAGGCATAGTGGTTCACACTTATAATCCTAACACTCTGGGAGCCTCAGGCAGGAGCATCACTTAAGCCTAAGAGTTTGAGGTTACTGTGAGTTGTGATGCCATAGCAGTCTACCCAGGGCACAGAGTATGATTCTGTCTTGAGAAAAAAGTGAGGAATTTAAAAAAGATACGTAAATACTAATATAATGTTTGTTGTAAGTTGAAGTCTCAGCATGTTATTCTGACCTTTAAAGTATCATCAAATGGGCCAGGCTTAGTGGCTCAGGCTTGTATTCCCAGCATTCTGAGAGACTGAAGTGTTGCTTTGAGACAGGGTCTCACTCTGTTGCCCAGGCTAGAGTACCATAGCCTCAGCCTAGCTCACACCAACCTCTGACTCTGGGCTCAAGCAATTCTCTTGCCTCAGCCTCCTGAGCAATGGATAACATATTCTTATAGATAAAACCTTAGAGTTTTGAAGGGGTAGTCTAGGGGAAAATAAATTGCCAAAAAGAATATATCACTTTGACATGGGCTATCATTAGATTCTACAATTTGTCACAGGCTAAATTATAAATTCTTTAATTAATATATTTTAGTGTCACTTGTTTTTACTTATATATTCTATCTTTAACGAGAGCACAAGGCTCCAGCCAAAACTCTTTGCCCCTTATCAGCTTCCCTAATACAGGTGCAGAGGGCCCATGCCCTCCCTGTAGCTGGGCCTTGATCTTGGTCTTCATATAGCAGTTGATGCCTTCCTGCCCTCTGAGGCCCACAAATACTATACAGCCAGAAAATGATTGGTACATTTAAAAAAATTCTTATTTCAGTAATTTTTCTCTACTCTGAGGTAATAAAAATATTCTCTCTCCTTTTTAAGTTTTAAAGTTTTTCCTTCCACTTTTATGTCTTCCAAGCACATGGAATTGATTTTTATCAGTGATAGAAGTTAAGAATTCACTTTTCACATTCTTTTTTATAGTTTAATAAAATGGTAAGGAAACTCTAGTCTGCTGCCCCTGATCATTCACCATCATTACTCAAAACATCAGTTGAGTTTCTCACTCACCAGCTTATTGCCTACTGCTTCATTCTAGTCCTATCACAACCTTGTCTCTTCTAGGATGAAAGCTGCATGTACAACCCAACTGGCAAGGCAGCTAAATGCAGAGGGTACAGAGAGATCCCTGAGGGGAATGAGAAAGCCCTGAAGAGGGCAGTGGCCCGAGTGGGACCCATTTCTGTGGGTATTGATGCAAGCCTAACCTCCTTCCAGTTTTACAGCAAAGGTAAAGAGCTGTTCCTATGGAAAACTGTCTTTTATGATATGGGCTTGGTGGCTTCTCAAAGGACAGTATTTTCAGTACTTAGTTTTTCTTTTTCTTTTTTTTTTTTTTTAGACAGTTTCATTTTGTCATTCTCAGTAGCTATAGCGTCATAGCTCACAGCTATCTCAAACTCTTGGGCTCAAGCAATTCTCCTCTTTCAGCCTTCCAAGTAGCTGGGACTACAGGCAGTTGCCACAATGCCCGGCTATTTTTTTTTTTTTTTAAAGACAGAGTCTCACTTTGTCACCCTTGGTAGAATGCTGTGGCCTCACAGCTCACAGCAACTTCCAGCTCTTGGGCTTAGGCCATTCTCTTGCCTCAGCCTTCCAAGTAACTGGGACTACAGACGCCCACCACAACGCCTGGCTGTTTTTGTTGCAGTTTGGCCAGAGCCGGGTTTGAACCTGCCACCCTCAGTATATGGGGCTGGTGCCCTACTCACTGAGCCACAGGCGCCGCCCTACACCTGGCTATTTTTAGAGATAGGGTTGCACTCTGGCTCAGGCTGGTTTTGAACTTGTGAGCTCAGGCAATCCAACCATGTTGGCCTCCCAGAGTGCTGGGATTACAAATGTGAGCCTCCCCACAGTACTTAGTTTTCATATTCTGATTAAGTCTGCCAAAGAGGAACTATTGCTGCAGGGTAGAGAATTTCTGTTGTAAACTCTCTGGAGGGGTTGGTATTCTACAATCGAGTCCCCATAGGGCAGCCCTTGTATTGCAGAGAACCTCACCTTGAAAGTTTGTTTCTTAGGTGTGTACTATGATGAAAGTTGCAATAGTGACAATGTCAACCATGCGGTTTTGGCAGTAGGATATGGAATCCAGAAAGGAAACAAACACTGGATAATTAAAAACAGGTAATGACGGGAATACTACTTTTGCATCTCAATCATCCTTAGAATATCCATCCTTACTTCTAACTTCTTAATATTCCTTTCTCACTCCCAATTCAAGATGAAATTGCCTCAGGCATTTCAGTTCTGTCTTTCCAAGTAGAGGCTTAATTCTGTGTCTAACAGTTAGTGGCCAGCACTCAAAGTAGGCATCGGACGCTGGTCCACGTGCCAGGTGCTTAGTGCCACACACAGGGAAATGAGCAAGTGTCTGCGTCATTGATCACAGAGCCAATAAGAAACAAGGGCCTAACTAACATGACGTAAAGTAGCAACAAGAGTCTGCAGAAGCTTTGCAATCATATATTTTTACTTTCTTTGGTCTCTAATGTCATCAGTTTTTAGGGAAGTTTCCATTTCAGTCTGTCTATAGGCAGCAGGGGAACAATGTAAAGGTTTAATATTCCTTTGTGGAGCTTTTGACTCTTCAAGAGACTCTTGAAGATTATGGAGTTTAATATATGTATATAAAAACTTGACACAGATTGTGAAGTCTGTGAAGAGAAACACTTTTTAGAAATAACATAAGAACAAGGGCGGCACCTGTGTCTCAAAGGAGTAGGGTGCTGGCCCCATATGCCGGAGGTGGTGGTTTCAAACCCAGCCTGGGCCACAAACTGCAAAAAAAAAAAAAAAAGAAAGAAAGAAAGAAGATAAGAACAAATTAGTATTTCCTAATTATTGGGAACAAATAAAATTCTAGGATACCCTACTTCTAATCTCTTTTTAGGCCCTTGTGACTTTGGGAATGGGGGGCAGATTTATAAGAATTATACTTTTTGGCTGGGCACCTATAGCTCAGCAGCTAGGGCACCAGCCACATACAACAGAGCTCGCAGGTTCGAACCCAGCCCAGGCTGCCAAACAACAATAACTACAACAAAAAAATAGGTATTGTGGCGAGCAGTTATAGTCCCAGCTACTAGGGAGGCTGAGGCAAGAGAATCACTTAAGCCCAAGAGTTTGAGGTTGCTGTGAGCTGTGACGCCATAGCACTCTCCTGAGGGCAACATAGTGAGACTTTGTCTCAAAAAAAAAAAAGGTTATACTTTTCCTTTCCTGGTTGGTCACCACCAACCTGGCAGTAGGACTGATTACATTTGTTGTCCTTGCTGCTCCCCAAGGACCAGGAAACCTAGACTCAGGAGTCACAGATTAATGCAGTGGTGTAACCAAGTTGGGGGGCTACCTAGAAGGCTAGATTATAAGGCTGAGAGTTGCTTCAGGTGAAAACACTTTTTTTTAATCACAGTCCCAACTCAGGGTGGACCTGAGCACTGTTCTAATCTCCCGTAGCTTTTGTGCCTGTATAGTCATCCCCAGGTACTCACCCTACTCTCTCTCTTGATCCGGTGCCAAGGGCAGAGAAAAAATCCAAAAGAGCTGGAGGAGTAAGGGATACACCCAGGCAGGGTCAGGAATACTGGGGGGAAGCTGTGAAGAAGCAGAGAACAGGGGCAAGATGGGGTCATAAGTAAAATGTAGTGGGCGATTTGAGAAGTTACTGGTTGGGGAAAAAGGACAGAAAACTCGTGAAAATAGTTTGGAAGATATACAAACCCATCTCTCCCCTCTCCTTTCCCTTTGTCTCTCCTATCCGCTAGTCTCTCCACTCCTTTCCTTTGTAATCTCATCACACTTCATAGTCCCATCTCTCCTATGGGGTTTTCTCCCAAATTAAAATCACCAGCTTTAGCCACTCTTGCATCTTTCTTATGCTCTCAACTTATACTTTCAGGATTATCCCTACCCAAATACAACTCTAATCATATCACTCTCCTACTCAAAAAGCTTCACTGGCTGCTCCACTATGATGGTTCACGAAGTAAAAGTCAAACTCTTTAGGCTTACAGTAAAGATAATTCAACTTGTTCTCAATCTCCCTTTCCAGAATATGTGAGTGTATATGTCTTCCGCTATACCCTGTCCAGCACACTATTGTTCAACCACCAGATCCTAAAACACTCCCCGTGCATTCCTGCCTCTGTTCATTTTACACCCCTTTTCTGCCATCCCCTTTCCACAGGTCAAAATTGTACCCAGTCTCTTGGCTTAGCTCAAATGCCACCTCTTACATCAAAGCTGTTTTTTTGCAGTGTTTGCCCGGGCTGGGTTTGAACCCGCCACCTCTGACATATGGGGCTGGTGCCCTACTCCTTTGCGCCGCCCTACATCAAAGCTTTTTTGGACCTCTTGATCAGATGTAGTATCTCCCACTTTTGATAACTATAGTATTATGTTTTCTTCTCACTTCTTGACTTTAAATTCTTTAAAGGTAAAAAAGATTTTATTCATTTTTATATATTATCAGTGCCTAGCATAATACTCAGTAAGTGTTTTAATGAGTAAACTGAAAGTATTTTTCTTAATTGTTCCTACAGCTGGGGAGAAAACTGGGGAAACAAAGGCTATATCCTCATGGCTCGGAATAAGAACAACGCCTGTGGCATTGCCAACCTGGCCAGCTTCCCTAAGATGTGATTCCAGCCAGCTGACTCCATCCTGCTGTCCCATTCATCTTCTGCAGTGGTGCAGTGTAGCAGCATACTTTGGAAGGGAGTTAGTGTGCCATTCTTGAAGCAGATGTGGTGTCACCAATCTGCCTTTCAGTTTCTCCATTTGTTTGGACTCCAGGCAATCCTTGCTACTGTCCTTCCCCGCACCCAAGTCTTTTCTCATCGTGGCCACAGCAGGAATTTCCCTGACAGGTGTGCACTCTTAGGCTGAGAGATGCGACCACAGCCTGCCCCGGTGGGTTGTCCTGGGGCTGATGCTTTCCAGGTAGAGGCAGAGATCTTCATGGAGGCTAGATTCTCACTTATTGGAATTAGTTAGCTTTAACCACCCTCCACAACTAGGGTAACCTTACTACAGTTTCCAAATTCCCTTCTACTATACCCTCAAGGTAGAAATTCCTGTATTTTCCACTACAGTTCATAAGTATATTCATTAAACCTTTGGTACAAGTTTACATCATATGAGAAATGTGTTTTCCTTTCTCTTTGCAATTTTGAAATAAAGTATTTGTCTCTTGTCTACAGTTTAATAAATAGTACTTAGTACACATTCATTTTGTGCTGGATATATGTTGGAGACAAAAAGATGAATAAAACATATTCTCTATACTTGACATACTCACAGTCTGGTTGAAGAGATTGTCACATAAAAAATTCAACCCTGGGCGGTGCCCGTAGCTCAGTGGTTACAATACCAGCCACATACACCAAGGCTGGTGGGTTCGAACCCAGCCTGGGCCAGCTAAACAATTACAACTACAACAAAAATAGCTGGGTGTCGTGGCAGGTGCCTTTAGTCCCAGCTACTTGGGAGACTGAGACAAGAGAATTGCTTAAAGCCCAAGAGTAGGGGGTTGCTGTGAGCTGTGTTAACTCTGCCCTTAGGGGGGCCAGATTAAGCAGGATGTAAAGCTGGGTCTTGAAAAATATCCTTTTTGTTTAATTTTTTAATTTTATACTCACCATGGTACTAACAAGGAGTTCTTGAAAAATATGGTGAGGCCCTTTCTGAGGTTTTACAACCTAAATTTTTGCTGTCACCAAAACAGGAAATTGAAATTCTTTTCTAATAATTTCTAACAGTATAATTCTGAAATAAATTAGCTGGCTGGCTGATAAGAAATCAGCATGGATTTGCCTTTTTTCACAAAATATTTATTAAGTACCCCTTATTACCACTGGCAAGAGTTTCCATTTACTGGATACTTATCATGTATCAGATACCCTTTTATTTAATTTTCATTCAAGTATTGTGAAAAAAATTATTTGTAAATATTTATTACCATGTGGTAAGCAATGTATTAAAGCTAGAAAGAAGAAAAAAATTAATGGGATGCGACCTTAACTTCAAGAATATCCTATGTTGCAACCCCTTGGGCCCCTATGGCCCTGGTCTCGATCACAGCAGGAAGAAACCAGGCGTGATTCGGATTAGAAGTACAAGCTTGGGCTTGGTGCCCGTGGCTCAAGTGGCTAAGGCACCAGCTACGGAAACTTGAGCTGGTGGGTTCGAATTCTGCCCGGGCCCACCAAACAACCAAAAAAAAAGTACAAGAAGCTTGTAGGAGGCAGGCTAGCCCTTCTTTGCAGGGTAGCCCGGAGCAACCTCCGAACTAGCCTTTTATTGAGACCGTACAACACAGGTGAGGGGAATAATTAACAAATGACTACGTGCTGAAGGCTCAGGTTCTTTCTCCACAGGGAGCACCTGCGGACAAATGGCCCAAGCTCCCCCAGCTGTAAATCATCTTGCTCAGAGGTCATCTGGCTCTTGGCATCCTCTACAATCCTAGCCTAATGTTAGAGACAGAAATAAACAACTGATGATACCAACTATAATGAAAGAAATACTAATTATGTAAGCTCAGGAATGAGTCATTAATCGTTAAGGAGTATTATTTTATTTCTTTTCATTATTTATTATTTTTTTTTTTTTGTGAGACAGAGTCTCACTCTGTTGCCCTGGGCTATGACATCACAGCTCACAGCAACCTCAAACTCTTGGGCTCAAGTGATCCTCTTGCCTCAGCCTCCCAAGTAGCTGGGACTGCAGGTGCACAATATCCATCTCGTTTTTCTAGTTTTAGTAGAGACAGGGTCTCGTTCTTGCTCAGGCTAGTCTTGAACTGAGTTTAAGCAGTCCACCTGCCTTGATTTCCCAGAGTGTGGGATTATAGGCATGAGCCCATGTAACCACCATCCAACTTCAATAATTACTAACATTTTGGCAATCTTGTTTTATCTATCCCTCCTCCATTTTTAAAAACCATTTTAAAGCAAATCTCAGGTATAGTTTCATTCACAATAACTTCATTATGCATCCCTACCTGAGTGAGGAACTTTGAAAAATGTAATCACCATGCCATTAGCACACTGAATGAAACTGACAATTGTTTCTTTATATCATCTAATATTTAATTGATTTAAGAATTTCTCCAGTTGTTTAAAGATGTCCTTTTAAGGTTAGTTTATTAAAATCAGTATCCAGACAGTTTTATGTATTGCATTTGTTTTATATAGTGTACTCTTTAGCAGTCACCTCTTCCCCCACCCTCACAGGTTGACATACTTTTTTCCTTGTCATTGAGTTCATGGATAAACTAGGTTATTTGTGCAGTAGAATGTCTATACTCTGGACATGGCTGGGCTTTGTCTGATTACTGTGTTCAGCTCTAAGGCCAAGATTTCTGACTGACATATAGTCTTTCACAAGTTTGGATACGACTCCTTGAGGCCTGGCTACCTGTAGCTAAAACTTGTTATCTTAGCCGATATGTCCAAAATAACAGAAAAGAAGAAACAGGGCAATTACAACGAAAATTTTAATTCTTGAAAAGGAAGAATGGATGGAAAACAGTTATCCATTTTCACTCATCTGTAGCATATATCTAGGCTAGGACATGGAAGACTCCCAGAAGAATGAGTTCCTCGACCAGGCAGCTGGGAACTTCCAGGTTTGTTCTCTTGGGGATCTGCTTTATTGTATCGCATGGTCCCTACTTCTTCCTGTGAGAGGATTTTACTTGTCCCTTATTCTCCCTGTCTATGGGCAAATGCCCTTTCTGAGGCCTACTCAACTTTAGTTGTGATACAAGTTAAGAACCTAGAAAGTATAATAGATTACCAGTAGCTTTTGGTCTGTTTGTTTTATTCAATTGCTTCCACTGGTTGCCACAGCCAAGATTTTTTTTCTAGATATATTGTTGAAGCCTAAGAATTTTGAACTCCTAGGAACCATATTCAGTGGTCTACCATCCCCTGACCTCAGTTTTAATGGTACTTATCCTAAGTAGCTTAAAACATAAGAGAGAGATGTAGCACCCATAATCTTAACTATGCTTAACTGAATGTGTGTAAGAGAAGCCTGGAACCCCAGTCTTATTTCCTTCTGAGTCGTTTGCCTCCTGGCTTCTGCATCAAGTTTAGTTTGGTATCTTTTCTATCCTATAAGATTCTCCTCTAGGACTTTGTATTGTAGGCCATAGGCAGAAAGAACCTCTTTTGGCAAAGCCATATAGTCTTCATCCTATGCCTTTAGATAGACCATTTCAGACTAAGTTATTTTCCCATATTCTTACCGAAGCCTACAAGAGGAGCTAACAATGCCAACATGATGAAATTGTGCTATCATTTCTTCCAGTTCCATACTCCACTGGGCCTGTGGTTTGAGGCCAAAATAATAGGAAACATATATTTCATGAATTCATAATCTCTAGTTTAGACTAGAGTCCTCGCCGAAAGGGGTTTAATGGTATACCCAGAGACAAGATCAGGAGAGGTTCAGGCCAAATTTAATGAAAGGTGGCAGAGAACAGCCTGGGCAAAGATGGCAGCTACAATAAGGCTGTCTGGAGGCTTGCTTTTATCCTGGGCATAGGGGGAACAAGATTCTACAGGTTGCTGGGAGCTTTCAGTAGGCTAGGGTCTTTCCAAAGGAACTCTTGGGAGGGCTGTGCCTGTGGCTCAGTGAGTAGGGCGCTGGCCCCATATACTGAGGATGGCGGGTTCAAACCCAGCCCCAGCCAAACTGCAACCATAAAAAGAAGGAAAGAAAGAATGTGTATTTTCAATTTAGAACATTCTGATTTTTCTAACAATTCAAGAATTGTATTGTCTTTATTTAGAAAGGGCTAAGTGCATAATTTTAACAAAATTGAGAGAGCTTTTTTCCTCCATCAATTAACTTTCTGTTAAAATTATCCTTCCTATAGTCTATTCTATCCTCCTATAGTCTATTAAGACTAATTCTTCTGAGCGGTGCCTGTGGCTCAAGGAGCAGGGCGCCGACCCATATCCCAGAGGTGGTGGGTTCATCTCTGGCCAAAAACTGCAACAAAAAAAAGAGTATTCTTCCTCCTAGTAATAAGGAAGGGTTAGTAACAAGTGAGTTTTTTTTTTTTTTTAAGACAGATTCTCACTATGTCACCCTCAGTAGAGTGCTGTGGGTGCTCACAGCAACCTCAAACTCTTGGGCTTAAGCAATTCTGTTGCCTCAGCCTCCCAAGTAGCTGGGACTACAGGCACCCGCCACAATGCCTGGCTATTTTTTGTTGTTTATTGGTCGTTGTTTAGCTGGCCTGGGCGGATTTGAACCTACCAGCCTTGGTGCATGTGACTGGTGCCATAACCCCTGTGCTATGGGGGCCTAGCCAAGTGAGCTATTTTTGGATGAAGACAATGTCTGTTATTAAATTTCTAGCATACTTGGGTGAATTAACAAAGAATAACACTAACATTAGCGTCACCCTAAAATTTAGAGTCCTTTTCTGTAAGATTAAGATAGTTCCTCAGAAACCTACAGTAGCAATGCTGGAAAAGGCCAGCTGTGACAAGCAGCACACAACTTCCTTACTCTGCTTTCATTTCCCTGTCCATGTCATTTGGGAAATGTCTCCTCGTCTATGATGGACGGGGCCAGCATTTTTAGATAAGATTTAGTGTTGTGCTGAAGACTTGCCTTGTTTTTTGTTTTTAATCTTTCTAGTTAAAAAAATTTGTAACAGCAAAGGTGCTGCCTTCCAGGGGGACTTACTGTGCTTCCCCTCTTGAATGGCTCTTCTGTTCCTTGGCCTCTCCATTCTGCAATATTTCATCTTTTGGGGCATTGCAGAATGATTTTTAATTTTACCTCAAGACATGTTTCCCTAATGTATTCAAGTACTGTATTTGTTTACAGACTTTTATAGATTAGGAAGACATTAAAAGAATCAGAGAAACCGAATGCTAAAAATCGCAGAAGCCACTGTCAAATGGTGACATGAATCAGAAGTGAAGACAAAATATGCAGAATGTTCTAGTTATGAAATTCAATCCAATAAACATTTATCAGTTATTATCTAAACATATGTTAAACCACAGAACAATATAAAGAATAGTAAGATAAGGCTCGGCGCCTGTAGCTCAGCGGGTACGGCTCCAGCCACATACACCAAGGCTGGCAGGTTCGAACCTATCCTGGGACTGCCAAACAACAATGACAACTACAACAACAACAACAAAGATGGCTGGGTGTTGTGGCAGGCACCTATAGTCCCAGCTATTGGGGAGGCTG